CTTCTTTTGGAATGCAAATGCAGAATCATTCATCTGCTACTGACAAAACAAAGGCATCATAATCAGATGTAGAATTTGTACCACTATTTTTTTCCTAAGAATGGCAATTAAACTCAAAGCATTCTCAAAGTTAAGATCAAACACCAGCAGATTTTGTGCATCCTGAAATAGCACTTCATTCCTCAAATAAAGAAGGTATGGGTGGTACAGCTGAATGTACAGAGCTGAGCAGACTGGGAAGAAAATTTAGTCTTTCAGACTGGTGCTCTGGAAAGGCCACAGAGATGTAGTTGCTCAGGTAGTTTCTCTGTGTGTTACATTAAGCACAAAGGAACAACAGTTCCAGGTAACAGTCACGTACACAGCCGTTCAGAAAGAGTATTTTTTTGACAGAAAATCAGGCTAGCTCTTATGTATTTCAAACACCAAACAAACAGATCTAAATAAACAAAATAACAACAGCAACAGAAAGATACAGTCTTAAGTTAGTTGCACTATAAGAACCAAAATGCTTGTGAACATTAACTCTTATCAGACACATCAAAACCATGCATCTGATGGTTCAGCTCCACAGGGCTTGCTAGCTGTTCGGCAGGTCAGTGCCAGGAGGCACTGCAGCAATCAGTCACATCCTGTACTCTTGTGTGCTCCCAGGACATTTTCTGAGCACTAGTCTGAACATGCAGCAAGCAAGACAGTGTCAGAGCATGATAAGGCTACTGCGTTACTCACGCACAGGATTAGCCTGCTGCTGAGAGCTTTCATCTAGATCATAACTCAGAAAATGGGTTGTGTTAGTTCAGCTGGCACTATGAGCTCAGGACTCACTGCCCAAAGGCATCCAGTCTCTCAAAAATTTAACAATCTGTGTGTCAACTGCTGTATCTCCCCAAGTGGCCTAAATCTCAGCTGAAGGGGCTATCTGTGACTGGACCAATGAAGTTCCACGACATTTACACCTATTTCTGTGCTGAGAGTGACAACAAATTAGTAGAAATTGTGTGAGTAATTTTTAACCAAGAATTGTGATGAGGCTGAAAGTTGTTTTGGATCACTTATCCCAGGTTTCAGTTTAATGAGCCAGCCTGCTTCCATCGCTAAAATATAACTCTTTTTTAGCTTGGTACTTTCCCTTGACGGAACTGTGCTCCAGCAGTGGATAGATCAGGCATCTAGCCAAATTCTGCTTGTCTCCTCCAAAAACTCATTATCAGTGACTATTGGATATGTGTGAAGAATGAGCCATTGGCTGTTTAAATTTTGGCCCTTGTTCAGGTTAGGATGGGATTTCCAAAAGTGTATGCCTTAACTCTACTTGCCTTTAAGAAAATGGCAATTCTATCACATAAGTCAGTAAGAGGCGAACTAGATTGACACAGTCTCCTTTTGGATATCCTACCATAGGAACAGGCCAAAGGATAATTTTAAATAGAATGAAAATTGCAGTCCTGATAGTTCCCTCAGAATTCAAGCTAAATTTTTAGAATGTTTGGGGAAGTGATAATAGTAAGTTATTTCTCAAAAGCCTTCCTGTGTTTTGTGTTTCTCTACATTACCCAGATGACAGCTGAGAGAGGTACTGAGATCATGATGCTCCTGATCTAAATGTGACCAAACTTTATAGCAGAAAACTCAACAGGGCTGTGAAACATGTGGCTGCAAAAGCCAACCTGTGATGGAAAATCAAAACCTACTTTTCCAACAGAAGGTAACCTTGATTGTTAAGAAAAGGTCTCCTTGAACTTCCATATATTTTCAATTTCAGAAGAAGGGATGATAGAATAAATTGGATTTGATGGGACATCAGGAGGTCATCCTTCCCAACCTTCTGCTCAAAACAGTGTCAGCTAAGAAGTCTGAGCAGTCTGTCCAGGACCTTAGCCAGTCTGGTCTTGAAAACCTCAAAGGATTTGATGTGAACACTCTAAAAATTAATCTGACTAATTCTGAACTCTGTGACAATGGCCGAGTGTCAATACAAATATCCTATGAGTTTTTAAATACTGACTGGTTCTGCTGCTATACTTCAGATAAGCCTTTTCCTCATGACACATGGCTGGCCGTCTACTGAACAATCTTACTCTGGCAGCTTCTTCTCCCATCCTCCCCTTTCCATGCAGAAGGCCAGACGTGTTGGAAGCCTGGGAGGTTAGTTGTCTCAGAAATGTGAAGGAGAGATTCTCCCTCTTTGATTTTACTGTTGCTCTTCTGCCCAGACTTTTGATCCAAAATTAAAAGCAATTAATTACTCTTATTTTAGTAAAGAACTATTTATCTATCACTCAGTTTGTTTAAAAAAGATACGTGCTAATAATGTATTGCCACCACTGAGTATAGTCTAAATGGTCATAAAGGGGCAGAGAGGGTCTGGTATTAATTACAATGGAGCATAAGCAAGGTGTGTCTGTAGCAAGGGACATCTTGGAGTCTTTTTCAATTCTTAAACGTGCACAGGAGGTTACCATTTTGCAGCAAGCATCACAGAGCAAAGCTGGAAGAATACTTGCCTTTGTAGCCATGCTGCATGATCCGGGCTATGCCCAAGATCGTGTAAGATGTGGCTATGTCTTCCTCTCTCCTTGCCTTGCTGAGATGGCTCAGACCTAAACCTTTTCTAAGGGACTTGAGGGCTGAGGCTTAGTGCTGTCTCAGGGCTTCCCTCCTCCTTTTTCTCCATCAGGAATAACTGCATATAACAAGAAAAGGATAGAAAACTGCCCACCATCTCACACAAAGCTTCCTCAGCTTCTTATCACTTCTTTTCCAAAGCAGCTCATCTGTAGTGGGCGAAGAGGTACTAATGAAAGTCTCAGCACAGTTATCAACATGCTGCCTTAGATGGGGGAGAGAAAAGCAACACCCCTGGAGACAGGCAGGGTTATGGTTGGGGTGGCACATGCTTCTTCCACTTGGCTGCTCATTGGCCCCAAAGAGGACAGTGCTTTCTCTTTATAGAAGTAAACAAGTGAAGTCCAGTCTCCATGCCCACTAGGAAAACAAGTGCTTAAGTAAACTAGCTAACAGGACAGACATGGTTTAAAATCCCAGACCGAAAAAAGAACATTTATTCATTTAAGTTAGGCAGTCAATGTAGCGCCCTGACGGCATATCCATTTTACACGTGTCTGTATGCCTTGTTTGGAAGTCATTGTCAGTGTATGTAGGTTATTTTATCAGTTGGGAAAAAAAAAAAAAAAAAGTGACCTTTCTCTTAGTGTTTTTCAGGAGTTATGTAAATTACCTTCAAGAAAAGTAATGTGTGTAGAGGGATTTCTTTGCAGTTGTAAGCAGTTTGAAGTACCTTGTGTAACTTCCTTTTTGTTAGTTCAAGAAATTTCAGTCTTGTCCTAAATTCTGTCTAATTTGAACTATAAAACAGTTAACGCTTTTTCAATTATGCTGTTTAGTTAAAAAAAAAAGTCACTGTGATGTGAGTAAAGCAGTTGTACAAAGGAAGTACTCTGGGGCACAGATGTAAGAAACAGCCACCAATTAATAAAGGAGCACTCTTAAAAACTGTGAAATATGACTATTTTTAACACTGTATTAAAAAAGAATTTGTGTACTTTATTCTGCTATCTTCACAGCCTTCTGCTGATCTCAGTAATGTAATCAGCCTAACAATAGAAACGTTGACAATTTTTCATTACTCTTAAATTTTTTTTTAAATCTTGTGAAATTTTGATTGCTTTCTCAAAATAGATATCCTCATCAAAGTGAAAATGAGGTCAAACTACAGTTCACTGACACCAGCAGCACTTCTGCAATAGGTCTGAGCAAAATACAGGCGTTTGTAGCCAGCGTGGTGATGGTTGTCTCACTGACAATGGGAGATGAAATTTCCGAAAACTTAAGTATGCAAATTTGACAACAACATGACAAGACAGGTTTTGGCTATGAAAAACTGAGTGTAATGAATTTGGTTCTGTTAGGGGTGATGTAGAACTGTGTGTTTAATATCTCATGTAAGCAGAAATTAAAACAGCTCGTCAACCTCTGCTACTGGGGTGAGTACTACTGGGATCTCCATAATGATGGAATGAGAAATTAAGTCCAGTTTCAGAAAGGTATTAGATAGACATGCAGCTCTCATGGAAATGTAAATATACTAGCTATCCAAACAGGATGAAATACCTAATATCTCTGCAGGTCTGCACTGAATACCCACATCCAATTGGAAACTCACAGGGAAGCTTGGTGGCTTTGTGTCCAGGAGCTAACTTCTTTCTAACCTCCACTATTTCCAGTCATCCATGATGCGTAACACAATGCGTGTAGATTTGCCAGGGCAATACACTCCAAGAAATGTCCCTTATACAAATGATCTGGACAGAATGAGGGATTGGCTCACTAGAGGAATATTTCTAAATTTATTTTCAGTCAGGAGAAAATAGAAGTGGCATCAGGAAGCTTATTCTAAAACACCTCAGCCACTACCCTAAGGATTCAACCACATAATTTGAAACTAATGAAGCAAGACTAAATCTTAGGCAAATGTGATCTAAGGACATGGCACCAGCTGAAATAAGTGTAATGTAAAACAGTCAAAAGAAAAGAGAAACTAATAACCATCCTGCATGCAAAAGACAGATGCTAAAAAAATTGATCATCCTTTCAAGCTAATAACCTCTCCATCTCCACAAGCATACAGCTGCTGATGTAAAATAAAAGACTTTTATCCCCCCAAAATTAATAAGACAGTATAAATAAAAGCATATAGACCATTCATAAACATTCTGTTGGCAACAGAACACATTGGAGCTGCCTTTGCTGACAGCTGCATTAACAGCCGCAGTTGGGCTGCTGTGGAGGAGGGGTGTCCTTTAGCCGTGTGTTCTGCTTGCTGGCAGCAATGGCGGGATCCGTCTCCAGACTTTCTGACATTTTGTCACAGATGATATCCACGAGTCGCTCAAATGTCTGCTTGACGTTAACGTTGTCCTTGGCACTTGTTTCAAAAAATTCAAATCCTAAGAAAATAAACAACATGTTTATGTTCAATGCATATACAAACTTCTCTTGGGCAAGAAAGAGTGGAGAGACACTCAGAAAGCAAACGTGAGACCACACATATAAGAGAGTGATATTGGAAGAGCAGTTAAAACACAATCAGAGTAAGCACAATAGTGCTATTTGCTTTACACCAAGACAGATAAAATCAGGACTGGCCCAAATACATTCCCTTAGACAAATTCTACTTTAAGCCAGTTTAATCTAAAATTTGACAGCAGCTTGAGAGTATTATTATTTTAGAAATGCCCTTACATCCAGCCATTGGGAAGGAATGCTGCATCTCTAACTATTATGTTCATCTGAGCATTATTAATCTGGAAATAGCCACTTTCATCATGTCATTAACCTGGTGCCAAAACAGACAACTGCGTTTGGAAATAACCAGGTAAAAAAACCAAACAGGACAAGAAAAGATTTCTGCAATTTGGTATCTTCTTAAGTTAGAAGTGAATCTGTGGGACCAAAGAGACTCCAAACCCCACAAACCAAACTAATGAAAAATACACAAATGCACATAAGGAAGAAAACTTCCTTAATTAATTTACATAGAAGGACTTTTATCTATCCATTCCCAATCACTACCTCAAAGGCAAAAATAAGAGCTATCTTTAACCCAGAAGAGACACTGGAAGCCTTTATGGAGCAGAGCCAACTTTCCTAAGCTCTCTTCTCTTCCCCCATTTGTCCCATGTCTCATCTCCCACGTCTGCCTCCTGCATCTGGGACAGGTTTGCAACGTACTGGTCAGCCTGCAATCCAGCAGGCTTCTGCCAGTGCTGGGTCATCACATGTTCTTGCTTCCTTTGCAATGCTTCAGTCTTTTTAAATTGCTTTGTCTTCTAAGCCTTTCCCCCCAAGCTCCACCTTGTCCCACAGTTACCACATTGCTCACCTGAGGGTTCCCTGAAAATTTAAAACTTTCTCCTACTTCTGTTTTTCCACTACCTAGGGGTTCAGTATTAAAACAATTTACAAGACACATAATCCACTGGTAATTTTATAGAAGCGATTTAGCCTTTGCACAACTATTTTGATTCTTTTTGAATAGCTGAATAACAATGTGCAGTTACCATCATGTATAATTATGAGAAAAATCCCAGTAAGAAAATGTCAATCACCTGAAGCTCTTGACAGAAGAGCAGAAAGCAGGTGGCTTTTTTTTTTTTTTTTTTTTTTTTTAATTTAATGTTGTGTGTGGTTTCTAGTGAATGGGCTAATCTATTTCAAAAGGCCACTTGAAATTTAAATGTAACTACTTTGATCACATTAGTAATACATATTCAATGTGCCATCTAAACAGGATGTAATGCACACATTCAGTCTTACAACTGCTTACTATGTAGCTTTTGCATGTTTGAGTACTAGCCTAGAATTACAGCACATAATTATATTTAGCTTGGCATGATATCCCCACATGCACTAATAATCAATGCAAAACATTAACTGTTTTTAATTTACATAAGGTGCCTTGTGCTGAAATGTCACAAAGGGGAAATTGTTTAAATGCATAGGAGCTAAACACAGGCAAAAGTTAGTGTTCATAGGTAATTTAGATAATAAGAGGTATCTATATTGTACAGGGATTTGGTCATACAACTTCTATTAACATCAGTAAGAAGCATAAGGATAACCTCACAGGTATGAGTATACATTGCCATGAAAACTTTTCCTTTCCACATTTATCTGGAAAGCAGGAAAACTGTGTATAATAAAAGACTGTCTACAGAAATCATATACTGGGAAGAGGTTTGAATCTACATGGCATTGTTTTAGTTTAGCTTGGCTTACATATCTCCTTTGTTCGAAACTAGGAGGAAAATGGGGAAAGCCAGTGTAGCCTCACTTCCTGGTGGCTTCAGCCCTCCTGCAGAGCTTCATGTAGGAGAAGACTGTTCAGATTGCTTGGGGAGTGCTTTGGGGGAGGAAGGTCCTTCACATTTTCGGTGCTCTGCATTGAAACCTGGCTGCAGCTCTACCACAGCAACACAGTCAGATCCTCCCACAACTGTGAGTGTCTGCTGTATAGAGAGAAAAGCAGCCATTCCAAAGAGAAACAAGCAAAACCAGAGGGCAGAAGGATTGAGGGACAAGAGGTTGCCTGAGAAATGGCACAGCAAAGCCTTGGAGAAGACAACAGAAAGAAGAATGAATCTTGAGGACATTTATCAGGGGAGCAGTTTTTACACACAAGAAGACAGAATAACTGGCATGTGACATGATTGTGAAATGGCAGATCTGACAGGTAGGTAAGAGATGTGGGCAGAGAAAAGGAGAAAGGGAAAGGAAAACAGTCACAAAGAAGAGAGGAGACCCATGTCAGGAAATACTGTAACATGGACAGGATCAAGAACGGATTCATACATAGGTAAGACACTTGTAGATGGTCTGTGGAAACTGTTCTTACAGTTGTGGAAATGGTCACACAGTAAAGTCTTTCGAAGCCACTTGAGACAGTCAAGAGATACTTTGTGCACAGTTTAAAGTAATCACTGCCAACAGATCATGGTATATAGAGAGCACATAGGACCATCTGGATTACAAGAATTCAGCAGTACAGGAGTTCAGAGAGTCTCGTTTGACGCAGCTGAAGACACCACTGCAAAGGCTCTTGCAGCAGAGGCTCCTGTCGTCACCTGAACAGCAATTGATTGTCCTGTGCAGGGGATTCAGTTCCCCACATAAGTGTTACCTTATGCAAAAGATCCCAGTAAATAAGAGTGGTGTCTCTTTTTTTTGTTTGTTTGTTTGCTTGTTTAACAGACACTCTGTCTGTGGAAAACTTTCAAAGAGATATGGAACAATTTTCCTATCAGAGTGTTCTTGGAATAAACACCTGAATTCTGGTTGTTTTCCATTTTGTTACGGAGTATTTTGCAGACCTTTTCCCCATTATGTCTCCTCTCTTCCTGACTCATCTTGCAATTATTTTACTAATAGTACTTAGACAGACTAAGCTTCTAAAATGCCTGTGTATGAGGGCCTCCAATCTATGTCTTTTAATTATTTCTTCAGGTTTTTTTCCACCGCCCATTATTAATGGAGAGAAAAGATTTTCCATGTGAAGCCTGAAGTGAGGCAACTCTCTGGTGATGCTCAGGGCAGCAGAGCTCCAAGAACACCATGTTCCCACCACCCGTGATGATCTGTACTGCTGATGTGGATGAGAGTGGGAAGACCAAATTACTGAAAAGATATGACAAAGCCCAAGGGGCATGTGGGTAGGTAAAGCAGAACAGAGCTGAAACTGAGAAAATCCAAAATATCGAAGGGCTGACTGAACATATGAACAATGTGTGTGGAACATGCATCAAGATGTTCTAAGTTAAATGTCTCTTTTTGTGGTTAATTCACTTTTCCCTTTGCTGTCCTTACACTATGTTTCTTTTGCTTATCTATCTTTTTCCCAAAAGGATTGACTCAAAGAAAGCTGGAAAGCTCTCATCAGAGCACTGCAGCAGCAGGGGCTAGCCAGGACACTGGCATGGTGCTGTTATTCACCTGGTGAGCTGTAATGCACACAGAGCAGTTTAGATAGCTGCCCTGAAACACATAAACAGCCTGAATTACTTTGTTCCCTGCCTCAGACTTGCCCTGGCTCTGCAGAAGCTTGTTCACCGATGATGATTAACACTTATGCCTGCTTCCAAAAAATAAGTGAGAAAAAAGCCCAACAAACCAAACCAGAAAGGAGAGCCATATGCAAAGGGAAGAACATTCTGCACCTTCTTATCTTCCTGAGAAAATGTGACATCATGAGGAAAACACTAGCTAGTGAATTTTAAGCACAATTCCAGAGACAATACAGACAAGAGCTATGTTAATGTTTCACCAGCTGACCAGGAAGACCTTCTGTTTTCAGAGTGTTTGTCCACAACCAAGGCAATTTTAATTATCACCAGATGTCGTCAAGAGTGTGTTCCTGCAGTGACTATCCTTCCTTGAAGACAAGCTTGAACTGTGATCCTTAGTGATGCTCTTACCAGTGCCCTGTTCAGTCCAGTATTTTGAGGAATAGTAGGAGACTGCAACATCAGAGCAAGAAGCTGCTGCAGGAAGCTGCTCCCCTTGTAACACAGCAGTGTACAAAAGGCAAAATTTAGGAAGCCATGGGAATGAATAATTTAACAATGTCATAGCATCTAAAGGAGAGGAGCTAATGATGACTTATTTTCTTGGATTTGCATCCTGTGGGCAGTCCAGAGGGGGCACTGGAGGCACTTCTTGCCTGCTCTGAATAGTATCTAATAAGCTTTGCATTCACATTGCAGGCTGTCAGTCAAGGTACTGCAAGACCTTTCTCCTCTGCACAGATGTCCACTTCCTCAGAACTGTTAATTTCTTTGAGAATTCTACCCCTCTCTCAAAGAGAGACAGACACATGTGGGATGATTGCAAAGGTGATCTCCTGTAGGAAACCGGGCTGAAAGTAGCTGGTGACCATTGATGTTCTTTAGCGTATCTCCTACATACGCAATTATGGTAGCAGATCTGGTTACACTGTGCTGTGCTTTGTAGAACAGTTGGATGGGACCTCTGCTGTCCAAACAAGCCCAAGGACTAGACTATATTAAGAAAAGCATTAAACAACATTAAACCCCAAAATAGGACTTTGCTAATATTACCTCAGAGAACATCAGTGCTTTAGCACCATTTTCAGTAGAGCGAGGGTAGAGATTGTTAACAGAAATGCTAAGATATTTATCCAGCATTTAGGGTGGCCAAATTTATTTAAAAAAAGAATCTCAGCTGTGGCAGAATGGACAGACTTGAGGGGCAGTTACTGATAATGCCCTAGCACCTTCTTTTCCAGCCTTTTAGAACAGGTTTCCATATAACTTTATATACTACATACAACTATATAACTTTATATACTATATATAACGGTATAAGGCTTCCAGATACCTTTTGAATGAGTGCAATTGGGCAATAAGTTAGATTCCTGGCAAAGAATTTTTGT